ACCGACCTGAGCACATGGCTGCTGCTAAGAGGGTACTGCGCTACTTGTGCAGCACATCAGGCATGGGGCTAGTGCTTGGAGGGACGAGCCCAGTTGTCCTCACTGGACACTCAGACGCTTCTTGGGTTGACGACCAGGCTACTCAGCGGTCGTCACAGGGTTACACCTTCAGCCTTGGCTCTGGTTCAGTTTCGTGGCGTTCTACACGCTCGTCTTCAGTTCTCAGCTCCAGTTGTGAGGCTGAGATCTACGTCACAGCCATGGCTGCACAGGAGTTACGCTGGCTCACCTACCTGCTGACTGACTTGGGAGAGCAGCCTCGTTCTCCTCCAGTGCTGTACGTCGACAACAAGGCAGCTATTGCCTTGTGTGAGGAGCACAGACTGGAGCACAGAACGAAGCACATTGCTCTGCGTTACTTCCTGGCTCGAGAGTTGCAGCAGCGAGGCCAGCTTCGTCTTCGCCACGTGGCCACTCGGGCCAACACTGCTGATATATTCACCAAGGCACTTCCGTCTGGTGATCATCAGCGCTTTTGTACTCTGTTGGGCCTTGTGCCTACGTTTCCACACTTGCTGTAGTCTCTGCTTGTACTGTGATCTATATATATACCTGCATGCTGGCTCTTGCTAGGTAGCCATCACTGTACTGTTATTGCTGCATATATATCTCTGCATGTGAACTGGCCCTGTGGCCTTTTGCTTGTGCTCGGAATGCGTGGTGACGTTGTGATCCACCCTGAGCTTGTTTTGCTTCTCTTGACTGGTCGTGTGACCCCTTGTTCTCCCCCACTTTGCCTATGGGGGTGTGTCAAACTATATGTGCTGCATATTGTCTAGGCTGTAGTGGGGTAGCCCATATGGGGTACAACCCAATTAGGGTTTACTACTTGTACTCCTGCATCCTGTTAGTTCATCCATTCCTGCTACTAGATTCTGACACACAGTAATATCAAATATTACTATTCGTAACAAGTTCTAGCTAGTGATTTGACAGATTCTGCAGGAGATGCTGTGTGAGAGAGTAAAAGTGTGTGTTGCGGATTGAGCTGACTGAGAGATGAGGTGCTGGAACCAACACTTGAACTACTCAAGGTAAGGTACCGTACTTTCTATAGCCCTGTAGGGCCTTGATTCTTCTTTGCTCTTAGCAGCAGTTGCTCACTCAAATCCTTACTGCATCTTTCATACTTGGCTTATTGTTTGGAAGTTAGTGGTGCTTCGAATTTTGGAGGCCTCTGTATCACACCTATTGTGAGTCAAGTGATGCTACATGTACCGGTACTAGCCGAAATGATCACAGTTCAGGCAGATACGCTGACCTGCAAAGCACATTGTAATCATGCTAGGCACAACATGTAGCCATAAGTCAGTCCCAGCACTTGAGCAGCAACCAGAGGCTGCCGGCCAGCCTGCCATGCTGCCGCCGGTGATCTGCCTGCAGCCTGTTGCATCAGAAGATCCCACCACTCGTGGCTCCCACAGGCTGCTCGCTGGCCTGCCTTGCTGCCGCTGCTCTCAGCTGTGCTCTCAGCCTTCTGGCCGTGGGCGACGGGGGCAGACACTTGCGCATGTGGGCTGGTGGGGGTGCGGGGCAGTGGAGTGAAAGTGAGGAAGAGGGGGAGCGGGAACGGGGGGAGGAGGGGAATGAGGCGCAGGAAGGGGAGGAGGAGGAGGAGAGGGAGTGGGAGGAGGGGGAGGCTGGGGAAGAGGGGGAAGACATGGAGGAGGGGGAAGAGAATGGGTATGAGTGGTGACATATGGAGGCAGGAGAGGGACTGTTGGAACGTTCACATGGGGCAGAGTAGGAGTGTCGGAGTTCTCTCTTTTGCTGCTGCTGGTGCTGCTGCTGCTGCTGCTGCTGCTGCTGCTGCTGCTGCTGCTGCTGCTGCTGCTTTTGTTTGCTGCAGGCACTGGTACTGCTGGCTGGGTTGGTGGTGTTGGCACAGCTCCCCTCATACTGGCAGTCACTGAAGAAGCAGTCAGCATCAGCATCTAGCTCCATGAAACGCCGCACACGCACAATGCTGTTGAACGACACACGCCGAACCAATTTCGGCCCTGCCCCTTGCTCCAGATTCAAGGGGTCATGGCCTGGGCTCTCCTCCCCTGGCTTCTGAATGTGGCAGGTTCGGCCTTGACTCAGGCAGGAGCGCTTCGGAGTTAGGCTCGGCCGAGCCTGGGAATCTCGTTCGGCAGAGCTCAGCTGATCTGGGCAAGATTGGCTCGTTTTGAGGCTGGATGCGGGGCTGATGGCAGGGGTTGTGCCGCTGCTGTGTGTTGAGGCTGGGCGCTGGGCGGGTGCGGTGAATGGGGGGAGGAGAACAAGCGTGGCCGGTGCACCGGTGGGTGGTGACGGGCGGGCGGAGGGGAAGTGAAACGACGGGTAATTATAGATGTGTGTGGGAGACACGCTAGCAAGGGAGGAAGGACGTGAAGCATCCGAATCAGCTGGGAGCGAAGAGGAAGGGGGAGAAGAAGGCAAAGGAGGAGGTAAATGGGCGGGGAGAGTGGGGGAGTGTGAGGAAGAAACGGGTGAAGTGAGCTGAGGGAGAGTGAGGGAAGCTGAGCGGGAGAAGCGGCGGGAGCAGAAGTTGGGGGGGACAGGGGGGGTCAGGAAAGAGTGGCTGTCCATGCCATACTGCTGATGCTTGCTACTATCGCGACGCTGCTCCCGGTGGCGCTCCAGGGTTGTCCCTGCTGCTGCCTGCGCTTGCTCAGCCGCACTCCCGCTACTTTCTCCTTCCGGAGCGGCGCCATCGGAGTTACCGCTGCCGGGCGGGAGGGCGCCCTCCATCATCGCATCACGTTGCGCTGCGAGCCGATAGTTCAGGGACGACGACGCGAGTCGATGCGCCATGGCTGCCACGAAACGCGAGGCGCGAACGGCGGATTCGAGGAGGTAGTAAAGGGCGGCCGCCGCCGCCCCGTGGGATTTGCGAAGTCTTTGTTCCGCGATGCCAAGAGATAAGTGGAACATCGCACTACTCGCATCACAAGTAGTTGCACTAGTACTACTAGCGTGGGATATTGCAACTTTCCAGCCGCCTGGAGGGAGGTTCCTTGGTGTTTGACAGCAAGGTCTGGATTCAGGGCTTGGCAATTGCCAAGCCTGAAGCTGAGGTTCCCCCGAAGCTCTCGTAATCACTCTGGCAGGCTCCGTGATGCTCTCTGGGAGTAACGAGACCTCCATTTATCTCTGTCCGTCTCACCACTGCGTGGTGACAAGTCCGGGACATTGCAAAGGCTGGGCGGTCCCACCGGCGGGAAGCTCGGAGAACGTAGGTTCCGACTCGCGAGTCGGACTGCGGCGACGTTCGAAGGGCGTTAGGTCTCTAAGTCGAACTGATCTCGGCAAACGCGTGAGCGTGAAGTGGACGCGTTTTGCGTCCACGAGCGAGGACTCCTCGCTGAGCGGACGCGCATTGACTCCCAGCCATTCGCAGCCAGTCAGCCATTCTGAGGCTCATAAGTCGTGGGTGTAACGCATTACAGTACAGAGGGTCCATCATCCTGGGGCGGAATCCCTACCACGGAATGAATATCTTTCTATTTGCCCTCCTCTCAGCGGTCCATACATCTGTTGTGCTAAACGCTCAGGCTGCCTGCACGAGTCACTGATCGCCTCCCTGAATCAGCGGCCATGTGTTGAACTACAGAAATAAAATAATTTACACTACAGGTAATAATCACCGCCCACCACTATACTGCTGACTGGGATTTGGAAGGACGGTGCCGTGTTGTGCCAACCCGCGGCGGAAGCAGCCGTGCGAAACTAGAACTGGGCGGGGAGATGAAAGCACGGACAAACCAAGGCTCCACTGCGTTTGCGAAAACCGATTGGCTGAAAGGGACAAACGACTGCAAATGACCGAATGAGACTTTCCCTTCCGTCACGACACCGAGCAGTAAGTAATCAGCACTATGCTTGCGTGGCATGCAGCTGCAGTGGGATAGCTTGGAACCATCTGCCTGTTCCCAGTCCACCGGCTCTCACGGTGAGCATGAGCGGCTGATGAAGAGTCCTTCCTGCTGCTTTCACGGTCTCTTGGTGAGGTGAGCCGACCTGAACCACAGCGATGAAAAGAAGCCTGGTTGGAAGGCATCGATTAGGACGCGTCACCCCCCTCGATCGATCCTACGCAGGTTCGATTTTTGATTCGGTTTGAAAAGATTTAAAACTATTTAAAATGTAACACTCGGGATTTTAGTGCGGTGGACGATCGAAATTCCTCGGTCTTGCACGATCGATTGAGGGAGGTGACGCGTATCTGGTGGTCTGTATTCCTCTGCTCTGTGTAATCAGCAAGTCTGCACAACAGGGATGATGGCGGTTGGTGGAGCGAACACGTCACGAAAAGGCACATTCCCCCGGATCAAAAGATTATCGTGAGATGCGGGGATTGCATGGCGGTCGTGACTGAAAAAACATCAGTCCTGCTCGACAGGCGGCCCAAGCCCTACCGCGGAAGAATCGGGGCTGTTTCGATTTTGGTATTTTATTTATGGTAGATCGTTTTCAAATCATATTCAGGTACCTGATCTTTGACTATAGTGGGGCATGCACTAAGGGGTACACAGGATTTCCTATTTGTACCTCCCTTTTCCATAGTTCATTTATTCCACTCTTGTATGATCATGACATGGTATCAGAGGCTAGGCTAGGTCCTGCTGTACCTAATGCCGTATGTAGGCTAGGTTTGCCCCACCGCTTCTCGCTGCCCTGCCCCACCGCTTCTCGCTGCCCTGCCCCACCCCGACATGTTGCCCTGCGCCGTCGCGCTGCCCTGCCCCTGCTTTAGTGTTCAGTGTTACAGCTGTGACCTAACGGTGAAATTACCACAGTTTTGGGCCCTGAGGCTGATCAGGTGGCAACAGAACCCACCAATATAAAGCACGGAAGCAATACATTCACTAAGAACCTGCTGCTCCAAGACACTGCCATATGCACATCATTTAGAATCAATCCCTCCCTCTGCTTCATCGAAACAAACGCCACCCTCAGTACTCGGCAGCGAGCTTGCCATTGGCAGGGCGCATCCAGCGGCCGGAGTTGTAGACGCTCTGGCCCACCACCCAGCCGTCCACGTTGCGCATTATGCGCGCCTCCTCCTCTAGCTCCTGCCTGCGCGCCGCTGCGAAGCTGGCGAGGGGAGAGGGGGAGCAAAGGAGAGGGAGGAGAGGGGAGGGGAAGCGAGGTGTATGGAGAGATTGGTGAGGTGTGGGGGGTTGGTTGGGGGGAAACCATGGGTGTAAGAGGCAAGAGAGGGAAATACGATAGACGGGGACATGGGTGTGCTACATAGATGGAGCTGCATGTGTGCTGGTGGGAAGAGAACTAATGAGGTTCGCACACGTGGGTTGGATGGACAGGTAGGGAGCTCTTGAAGAGAATGAGAGAGGTGGGAGGGGGGCAAACGGGTAAGGGAGTTGGAAAGTGGCAAATGAAACAATTTGCCAAGAGAACGGAAGATCGACAAAGGGGGAAGGGTCAAAGGCCGGGGGAGAGAGGCAGGGGGGCAAGGCGGGAGGCCGGAAGCGACAAGCGGGTGCAGAGAGGCGTGGTGGGGGAGGCGGCGGGGAAAAAGAAGCATGCAGAACGTGGGGGGGAGAGGTCGCGGCCTCACCGCGCGTCTTCCTCTGCTTGGATGAGCGGCAGTATGGCCACGCGCGCGTCTATCTTCTCCTTCTTCTCCGCCCTGCCACACGCCATGCGCCATGCGCCACCCCCATGCGCCACACACCACCCCCATGCGCCACACACCACCCCCAAGCCAGACGGCACCCCCAAACGCGACACGCCGCAAGAGCACACAGCGTAGAGGAGCACCGCGCACAGCAACAACGGGTAGAAAGAAGAGGGGGTCGAGGAGCGCGTGAACGGGGGGAAGGACGGAGCGCCAGCCCATTGAGGGTGGGAGAGAGGGTGGGAGAGAGATGAAGACGCACGCGATCACTGCACCCTGTCGCTATCGATTTAGTCGCCCTTCGTCGCCCTTCGCTGCACGAGCAGCGGGAGCGGCGGAGGCTGACAACTCACGGAAACGAATCGTGTGCATGAATGCTGAAAGCGGGATCCATGACGCGTCGATCGCAATGCCGACTCGCTTCTTCGCCATCACGCACACAATGCGACAGTTCCAGCCGACCACTCAGTTCACTAGCCTTGCTGCTACACGGCTTTCTTCCAACATTCATGGACGGCCTATATGTCCGTCCGTGCGTGTCGAACGGCCGAGACACGGAAACCTAGCCTCACCTGCGCTTGATGTTCCCTTGGCCGATCTGATAAAATCCGAACGCAATCACGGCCGTCGAAGCCAGCACCAGAGCCACGCCCGACGGACCCGTGTTCATGATGCGGCGCCCGTATCGCACGGCGGGGAATCCGCCGGGCGGAGGGCCATCCTGCAGGCCCTTGAGGTCTTTAATCGACTTGAGGTCCTTGCTGCCGCGCACCACGTACTCCGTCATCGCGGCGCCGCGATCGCGTAGTGGACGGCAAGTAGAACGAGGGTTGGACGTTTGCGCGCGAGAAGCGGCGCGGTGCTGGCGGGGGTGGCGATGTGGAAGGAGCGGATGAAGTGGTGATGGTGGCAGAGACGAAGGGAGCGGTGGATGCGCGAGGGGTTGGGCTTGGAAAGAACCTCGTTGTGGGTTGACACGTTTCGGGTATCAATAAATTTTGTGCCGCTATATATTCACGTCATGTAGGGGTTTGTTCTCAAAGAGTAAGTTCCCACCTTTTACGGTAATCGGAGTTGTTTTGTACCTTCACAAGCACGGAAAATGCAACGTGTAAAATCTCGTGAATCGCCAGCTCTATATCTCGCTCCGGTAGTTGAGACTCAGCATACCATGTGAACCACGGTACAAACTTACAACATTTACACAACAGGCATCATAACCAACGAGCTACAGTAATTCCACTCCACTGGACAACTGTACATATAAAACTGAGCAAAGAATTGGCATACCCTAGTAACAACACCAAGTCTATGACCCTCTTCTGTTTGAAGGAATAATATCAGGCACCTTTTCAGGCCTCTTCACCCCCACGCGCTGCAGCACCTGCATGGCGCGCATCTGCGAGATGGCCTTGCCAGGGTTCAGGTGCTTGGGGCAGGTGCGCGCGCAGTTCATGATAGTGTGGCACGGCATCAGCCGGTCGTTCTCTGCCAGCTGATCCAACCGCTCCGATGTGCTCTCGTCCCGGCTGCGGGGGTGAGAGAGGCAGGGGCAGGAGAAACAGGAGGGATGAGGGTGGGAGGGAGGGAGGGATGGGGGGTTGTGAGCATGAAGGAGAGATGCTCCTGAATGACCATGAGAAGTATGGCACAGATCTGGCAGTGCATGAACTGGAGCTTGAGGTAGTTGGCATGCAGATTGCCAATAAAGAGCAGCAGCAATTCAACAGCAATATACTATACCTGTCAAACACCCATCTGCTGGCGTTGATGAGAGCAGCAGGCCCCAGGAACTTGTTCTGGTTCCACCAGTAGGAGGGGCAGCCAGCCGTGCAGCAGAAGCAGAGAATGCACTCGTAGCGCCCGTCCAGCTTCTCCCGGTCCTCTATGCTCTGCCTGTTCTCCTTGCCGTCCGCAGGAGGCGTCTTCACCTTCAACCACGGCTCAATTGACCTGCACAAGGAGGAAGAAAAAAAAGAGCTTACAACAGCAACAACCCCAAAAAAAAAGAAAACGGAAAAGAGGCGAAAGAAAAAGGATTCCCAAAAACTCCTAAATGAATCACACTCCCATTCTGCACAGCCACCAATTGCTGCAACTGCCAGTCAGTCCCCACACGCACTTGTACTGCTGGTACTGCCACGTGAGGTCCACCACGAGGTCCTTGATCACAAACATGTGTGGCAGCGGCGCGATGGTGGTGGCCACGGTGGGGCGCGGGTCGATGGGGCACAGGCACGCGAGTGTGTTCTGGCCGTCGATGTTCATGGAGCACGACCCGCAGATGCCCTCGCGGCAGCTGCGCCGGAATGCCAGCGTGGGGTCCTGCGTGTTCTTGATCGTGAACAGCGCGTCCAGGATCTGACGGTGGCAGGGAGGGGGAGCACACGGTAGAGCGAGCACGCGGTAACGAGGGGGAGGATAGGGGGAATTGGGGTATGTAACTGAGCGGGAGCGAGAAAGATACTAGGGACAAGAACCGCAGGAGCGAACGACAAACAAAGCATTACTGCAGGGACTCTCTCCGCAAGAAAGAAAGTAACACCATGCGGAATGAAAGAAAAGAACAGGAACGACCTGATTAGACGCAAGAACAGGAAGGAAGGGCCAAGAAGAGAGAGTGCGCACCATGGGACCGCACTTGGTGGTGTCGACAGTGTACTCTACCATCTTCGCCTTCCCGCCCTCGTCCGGGTTCCACCGGTAGATCTGAAACCGCTTCAGATTCGGCACCGGCTCGCCGCGCCGCGCAGTCGTGGTCGACGCGGTTGCCGCGGTCGACGCAGCGTGTGACGGCGACGGGGAAGATCGTTGCGCGTGGAGGGGTTTGCCCGCGGAGTCCATCTGGGGAACGTCGTCCACGCCCCTGGATTGCGCCGCTTGCTGCGGCGCGCTCTTGATGGGCGAATCCCAGGAATAGGGGAAGCTGTGGCGGTGCGGGTTGTCGCGGCTGAGACCGCCGTCGCTGCTGCTGCTGCTGCTGCTGTTGTTGCTGCTGGTGCTGGCGAAGGCGCGACGAAAGAGCTCCTGCACGGGCTGCCCGCGAGAATCGCTGCGGAAAAGCTGTGACGCGGAGGGCTTTAGGGTAGTACTACCGATGAGCTTGCGGCGCAGCTGGGAGGCCATGGCGCCGTCTTCGATCCACAAATTAGTAGCACCGAACTTTTATGTCTACGAGCACGGCGACGTAATACGAAATCCAGAACAGTAACCTCTCGTGACATAAGATAATTCCCTAACACCGAAGGAGAGAGGAAAGCGAGAATGCTGTGCAGTCCCAGGGGCAGACAGGTTTGCCATGGCGTGCTTCGCAAGGCGATGCTGCCTGGATGCTACGTTCCCTCGGTGCATGTGTGTGTACGTGTTGTCCGCGTCGATGGAGGGGAGGAGCTGCGGTGGGGGAGGGAACAATCTCAGAGAATTTCCCCGCTGCGGGATAATCAGAGGCTTGCCAGAAATTTTAGCTCGTTGCCACGTGTCTGTGCCATGTTAGGACGGATAGAGGGTATTTGTGTTGTGGCAACATGCACTCTGGGGAAAATATGTCAATGGTAACAAACATGGGGCACTTTAACGCGTACGGTAACGATTTCAACGCATTTGGTAACTCGCTTAACGCGTTTGGTAACTTGCTTAACACGTTTAGTCACTCGCTTAACACATTTGGTAACTCTACACTAGCAGCCCATCACGCGAATGGTAACTAAATGAAATTCCCGCCGAAATGAGCCTGAAAAAGAAGAATTTATCGAGTTGGAAAGCTTTTACGCACAGTATTATCCATTTGAACAAAGTCCCGCCGCGAATTTGAAGGACCCCGTTTGTTCTAATACCACAGACCACAGACCGTTGGTAGAACAGTTGTCAGATGGCCGTGGCGATCGTATGCCTGGCTGCTCGTGACATGTCCACGCGGTAACAACCGGTTCTAGTAGAGTCCTACCTCATCCCTCTCATTCTGTTACCTTCACGTCACAAAGATTTAGGGCCATTATATATATATATATGAGCTCGTACAAAAATGGTTAAATTTTAAAAATTTATAGCATGATTGCGAACTTGCAAAACGATAAAAATAAAAATCCAAAAGGACCTTGGGAATTTTACCGTTTATAATTAATGCAACGTTGGAGAATTTTTGCACGTGGGAAAAAACACTCCTCTTGAAAATTAAATGTTTCGTATTTCAAATAAAGAACCATAAACACCTGGTCGCAAGAAGTTTAAGTTTGTTTCTCTCAGATTTATCTGCCATTTGAAAGGAGTATAGATTTGTTTGCCCCGGCTGCATGATAGAAAAAAGTACTAAAGTTTGGGGAAGGAGCGCCCGAATTTTAATTATGTATGAACATATATTTTCACAACACTTCTGTTTTTGCAATAATTTTGAAAATCGGAAAGTGTGTCAGGATTTCGGAGAGTGTGTCAGAATTTCGGAAAACAGTGTCAGAATTTCGGAGAGTGTGTCAGAGGTTCCTGCTTCAGAATTCGTCAAATTTTTCTGACGCGAGCGGGAAAACCCAAAATCAGGCTCAATTTCGGCGGGAATTTCATGTAGTTACCATTCGCGTGATGGGCTGCTAGTGTAGAGTTACCAAATTCTCAGAATAACTAGGCAAGAATGATTGAAAGGAGAGAGGATTGAACTAGCAGGCAGTTGAGTACAAATAGCAAACCTTAGATTGGGCTGTACTCGCTATAGAGTACCCCACTGCAGGCTAGACAATAATAGCATTCTGACACACCCCCATAGCCAAAGTGGGGTGTAATCAGCAGAGCAAGCAAAGCAGTACAAGCTCAGGGTGGATCACAATGTCACCACACATTCTGAGCACAAGTTCAAGAAGCAATAGTTTAAAGTTCACAGTTATGAGCAAAGCTAGAGGCAGTCACAGAGGGCAAGCGAGGAGGAGGAGGGCTGGCGAGAGGAGAGAAGATGAAAGGCGCCGACTGAAGCTGCAGACACACGGGCAACAGGAGCGGCGCGCACAGTGGCTACCGAGCGCACGAGGGCACCGGACTACGGGAGTATCTGGCTCCGCGGCTACGACGAGCACACACAGGAGCAACGGACCCACAGGCGACTGGCGAAGCAGGCTCGCTGGGCTACCGAAACGCGCGAGGGCATCCGGACTACTGGCGCTGCTGGCGTCACGACGGCTACCTCCACGCAATCTCCCCCGACCGTCCCACGCCCCTCTCACACACCCCCTGCTGACACCCTAGCTCCACTCCGACGGTACCCCCCTTAAACCCCAAACCCTAGGCTCCCACACACCACCCCCCTCAGCGGCAGCTGTAGCAGAGGGAGACGAGGGAGGAGGAGGAGCAGGGGGAGGAACTCACAACCGACACCCCCATAGCCGCCACCCCCACACTCTTCACCCCCAAACCCTAATTTAGGAGAACGGGCTGTAGGAGGGGTGAGGCGCCGGTAGAAGCACGGGGGACAGTGGAGAGGGCAGGAGCAGCGAGGAACGGGCCGCCCACGGGCCTGGTAGAGCCGCCCGAACCGCGCGCAGGCGGCCCGAGCCGCGCGCGGGCCTGGCGCTTCCCGTACGGGCCGCGCGCGTGCCTGGCGCAGCCCGTACGGGCCGCGCGCGGGCCTGGCGCAGCCCGTACGGGCCGCGCGCAGGCCTGGCGCAGCCCGTACGGGCCGCGTGCCGGGTGTACGGGCCGCGCGCAGGCCACGACGGGCGACGGGGGGCGACGCGCGGGTCCCCGTCGCCCGTCGCAGCGCCTCCCGGGGGCGACGTGCCGAGTGACGGGGCAGGAACCCGCCGCGCGCCTCGGGGCACACGGCGGGCAGAGAACCGCCGCGCGCCTCGGGGCGCACGGCGGGCAGAAAACCGCCGCGTGCCTCGGGGCGCACGGCGGGCTGAAAACCCTAGTTTCGACGCCGCGCGCCACGGGGCGCGCGGCGGACAGGGAGTAGCAGTAGCAGTAGCAGTAGCAGCGGAAGGCTTAGGTGGTGGGCCCACCCACAGGATCGACCCAGGAGGGTCGACCTGCTCTGATACCATCTCAGAATAACTAGGCAAGAATGATTGAAAGGAGAGAGGATTGAACTAGCAGGCAGTTGAGTACAAATAGCAAACCTTAGATTGCTATAGAGTACCCCACTGCAGGCTAGACAATAATAGCATTCTGACACAAATGTGTTACGCGAGTGACCAAACGTGTTAAGTGAGTTACCAAACGCGTTAAGCGAGTTACCAAACGCGTTGAAATCGTTACCGTACGCGTTACAGTGCCCCATGTTTGTTACCATTGACATATTTTCCCTGCACTCTGCCTCGTTGGGGACGCCAGAAAACTTGGCTTGACCAGACCGCCTCAGAAGAGCCAACTAGGGTTACCTGCTCTCATTATCGCTAAAATGATTCGTCAAACGTGTCGTCAAACTTGGTAAAGCACCTAGAGAAAATATGTCACCCCCAAGGAACACGGGACTCAATAAAGTGTATCTTAAAACAACAAAGCGTACAGCCCTTGTACATAGTGTTTTAACGGGTTACCACCAAATTAGAGTCAAAACAACTTTTAGGACTAGATACTACGAGTCATTCGAGTATACGGTGATGCCGTTCAGAATATTATGCTCTAGCCTGCAGTGGGGTGCTCTATAGCGAGTACAACCCTTCTAGGGTTAGCTATTTGTACCACCATTGTTGCTAGTGCAAACCCTCCTTTGCTTCATTCTCTCTTGCCTAGCTAGGTCAACCCTAGCTATGGCTCCTCATCGTGCTTACTATCTCGACATGCTATCAGAGCAGGACGATCCAGTTGGGTCGATCCTGTGGGTGGGCCCCACCACCTCAGTCTTCCGCTGCTCCTACTACTGTTTGTGTCGCACGCCCCGAGGCGCGCGGCGGTTTCCTACCGTGGGGGACCCCGCGCGCCCCCGATTTCCCGTCGCCCGCGGCCCCCCGTTTTCGTCGCCGGCGGCCCCCCCGTTCCCGTCGCTCGCGGCCCCCCGTTCCCGTTGCTCGCGGCCCCCCGTTCCCGTCGCCCGCGGCCCCCCGTTCCCGTCGCCCGCGGCCCCCCGTTCCCGTCGCCCGCGGCCCCCGATTTCCCGTCGCGCCGCCCTGGGGAGCCGCGCGCGACCCCCCGCTGCCCCTTCGCGGCGCCCTAAGGAGCCGCGCGCGGCCCCTCGCTGCCCCGTGGTGGCGTCCTGGGGGTCGCGCACCGTCCCCCTCGCCGTCCCCCGCGCTCCTTCCCCCGTTCCGCCCGTTTTAGGGTTTGGGGGTGAGGAGTGTGGGGGTGGCGGCTATGGGGGTGTCGGTTGTGAGTTACTCCCCCTGCTCCTCCTCCTCCCTCGTCTCCCTCTGCTACAGCTGCCGCTGAGGAGGGTGGTGTGTGGTGTCAGAATGCTATTATTGTCTAGCCTGCAGTGGGGTACTCTATAGCGAGTACAGCCCAATCTAGGGTTTGCTATTTGTACTCAACTGCCTGCTAGTTCAAACCCTCTTTCTGTTCCTAACTTCTGCCTAGCTTGTTTCGACATGCTATCAGAGCAGGTCGACCCTCCTGGGTCGATCCTGTGGGTGGGCCCACCACCTAACTGCTTCCGCTGCTGTTATGCTTCTCGCGCGCCTCGGGCGTGCGTCGTCTTCTTCCTGCCGTGCGCTCGGGGCGCGCGGCGGTTTTCTGCCCGCCGTGCGCTCGGGGCGCGCGGCGGTTTTCTGCCCGCCGTGCGCCCCGAGGCGCACGGCGGTTTCCTACCGTGGGGGACCCCCGCGCGCCCCCGATTTCCCGTCGCCCGCGGCCCCCCGTTCCCGTCGCCCGCGGCCCCCCCGTTCCCGTCGCCCGCGGCCCCCCGTTCCCGTCGCCCGCGGCCCCCCGTTCCCGTCGCCCGCGGCCCCCCGTTCCCGTCGCCCGCGGCCCCCCGTTCTCGTCGCCCGCGGCCCCCGATTTCCCGTCGCGCCGCCCTGGGGAACCGTGCGCGACCCCCCGCTGCCCCTTCGCGGCGCCCTAAGGAGCCGCGCGCGGCCCCTCGCTGCCCCGTGGTGGCGTCCTGGGGGTCGCGCACCGTCCCCCTCGCCGTCCCCCGCGCTCCTTCCCCCGTTCCGCCCGTTTTAGGGTTTGGGGGTGAGGAGTGTGGGGGTGGCGGGTGTGGGGGTGCC